CTACGTGAATGGCATCTCACTGCCAGTGTCGACTCTGGGCAGTCGGACCGTGACTTTCCCGGCCTGCTAGACAGTCACGCGCGCTTCATGCGGAAGTTGAGTGAACTCTGTCTGCTGGCTGAGTCATCTCTGCCGTTGCGCAAGGCTGTGCTGGGTCTCTTAGAGATTATTTCAGGGCTTGAGGGCATCTTCTGCGCGCAGGACGAGACTGTGGAAGTGCTGACTGTCAAGTTGGACAGGCTAATCGGGGACTTTAGTGCGCACGTGACCCTTCTAAACTCCATGATCACGCGTATAGTGCACACGAACCAGTCTGTCTCGCTTATACCTCTACAAACTGTTTTCTCGGAGGCCTCCTTTTTTAACACTAACATGGAGACTAGATTGCACAACTGATTTCATTCCTTACTCCCAATTTCTGTCCTGCATTTCATATTTTTTTATCTTTCTAAAAAAGTGACTTTTTTCCTTGATCCGTTGTTCGTCATTTACAGGGCGTGAAGGCGTCTGTTTTTTTACCAGACCCGTCTGTTTGCACTAAGAAGGAATTGAGAAATTACGTTTGCTTACTCCCTGAGGGGGACAGCCCCCGATGAGTAGTTTTCAACCCCCGAAAACCGGCATGTCTTTATTATGCACATATATGCTTTGCTATATCCCGAATCAGACGGTGATCATGGTCAGGTAGCCACCTGCCAAGTCGAAATTGGCCAACGTATGGCAACAACAGGCTTACTCTGCTATCATCCAGCCAATTACAACCCTGATCATCACCTGAGACCAGAAACACAAATCCAGTGGGGTTCATAGGATGTGTCATAAGCGCTTCATTCAATGGAAGGTCGTTAGTACCTCGCCACTGAACTAATCCTCTACATTCGCAGAACAAACATAAGTCACACAGAAACAGATGCACAGATTAGACCACTAGGTAGAACGGCAGGGATACCCAACAATTTTCCTACACCAGGCCAAGCTAGGCTAACAGCGTCTATCTAATCAGATATGTTTGCCCAGGGTTATGTCTCCTCGAGTCTTTGAACCCTTCGGTCGTATACCTC